GAAATTATACTTTTCTGAAACTTTATTTGAGGAACATTAGCTGATTTCAAGTTTAATTAATCTAATTTGGAACAAATATTACTAGTAATTTAAAATATCACAGAAAAGCATTTTTTTAACACTGAGTTGCTGAGAATTTTATCTATATTATGTTTGAGATTTTTTTTTTTTAAGAGAGACATAACTGTAACAATTTATATATATATATTTACATGAACATCTCAATTGTAATGTCCATATAACCACTCTGATGATGGCTCATGTGAACCAAAATCTTAGATCAAGGAACAATATAATAAAACAATATCCAAATGTTGGACAGTTTTTGTTATTAATTTCTTCTGAAGCTAAAGCCACTCTACAAATCTCAGAATGGCTCAGGATCAAACATAAAAAACATTCCCTATGTCTGTTACATTTAACAATATATATATATATATATATATATATATATATATATATATATAATTTACTTATTATAATTTTATCATATAGACAAAACCATTTGACTCACTACAAAGATGCAACTTCGTTTCAGTGCATTTCAACTGCACTTGACGACGGGTGAGAATCGAAAATGGTTATGAACAATCCTGCTTGTAGGCAAGCCGTATGTGAAACGTCACAAGTTATCAACAAGCACTATTGTTTCACTCTGTCACTTTTTTTTTTTATGTATATTTTTCTTCTCAAACAAATGGAATAAAGGAAGTGATGTTTCACATACATCGAGTCCTCTTTTGGATTAATGCTGTGAACGTTTGAATTTATATATTACTTTCATTCTCATCACATCGGATATATATATATATATATATGCCTTTTTACATAATTATTTTATCTGTCCAGTAATCTTAAAAATTATTCTAATCAATCTAATATTTTATTGAATTTTAGGTACTTTGCTTTATAGTCTTACAAAGATGCTTGTTGATAAAGTGTCAACTTTATTATAGTTACCTCTATTTTCTGCTAATTTTGTGTGTGGATGTCCGTGTTAACAAAAATCAATATAAAATCAAAATTCTTTTTAAAATATTGGGGTTCATTGAATTGTAGTGTGCTTTTCCATTTATGATTAATAGTCTTAATTTAATAACAATATCACTTGACTACAAATTAATATAAGAATTGAAATTTTATAAATTATTCTAATTAAAAAAAAAATGAAAACAATTCTTGTAAAAATTCATTATTCATAGAAAAAAAATTTTCTTAAGACAATAATGTCCATAATATATTTTATATATAAAGGTAATTAAAAGCTTTTCTAATTAAATAATGTCTTAGTTTTATAGCATTTTTTATTTTTTGATTCAGAGCAGAATTTCTGTAACTAAATTTGTTGACCTAAACAATTTCATGATTTAAATTCTCTGAGGACTTGCCCTTACAACTAATTAACATTAAGCACTTCAAAAAAAAAAAATTTCTTGAAATTTCATACAATTAAATAAATGTGCTGTAAAGAAAATATTTTTCCCAAGATTTTCCGAAGAAGAATCATATAAAAAATAATTTCAGTTGTGAATAAGTTCTAAGAATTTTATTAAAATTCTGCAATTATCTGGTTTTTGTAAAGATTTCCAAATCAGTGTGTTTTGCACTGCAAAGTGACACTAAAATTTCCCATAATAATTTATAGTACAATCGTTGACACTGGAGAAAAAAGTGTTTTAACCAAAATTTGGAATCTTCTAAAATGGATAAATTTTGCATAAAAATCTTTTGATTTTTTTTCCTCTTAATAATAACATACAGATTTTAACGATAAAACTTTGATTTTACATTTTAATCATTTTTTCTCTTTTATTCCATGTATTTTCATTTTTTAAAAAAATTCTTTGGTGGTACCTACTTAAAAATATTATATATATATACTATAAAAATAAAACTGTCCTAACTAGTGTAGTAGTGAGTGAACAATTTTGATCTTATGGTAAATAACATTTTACACAATCAAGAAAATACTTCTTTCAGTTTTAAATAAATTACTTCCATATTATTTTGAAAATTTGATTGTAGCTCAAATTTTTAATAAGTTTATCTGACTTCATACAGTGAAGATTTTAAAAAAAAAAAAGAAAGAAAACGAGAAGTTTTCCGTTAAAGAAAAAAAAATTGGCAAAAATAAAGGGGGATAACCTATGCATGACAACACATTCTGAGCCATCATCTTCCGCTTGTGGAAGACCTATTTACCAGCTATTCGCTGCTTACAAGAAAACAGTTTTAGAATTATGGAGCTGAATGTGATAAAACACTGAATGATAACGAATTTGTTGATAATGCATTTATAAATCTATGCATTCATTTGTGTGAACATTTTTATCTTGACCAATAAAAGAATGCATTTCTCTCCCTTAGACAACTTATCAAACACAAAAGAAAAAAGTTATTCCTATTTTTATTGAAATTTGTTCCGTGTATCGTGAATAAAATTAATTCTTCTGTATTAATTTCAATTAACATCAAAAATTAATTTTAAAATACTCATATTCATAACAAAGGAAATATTACCGTATCTGTTCAAAATAGTTGAAACATTTAGTGTATGAAATATATATGCAAATATAATTATTATGGGACAGTTTTCATAAGTTTCATAACTTAACTCACTACTCACAACCATGAGAGTTTTTCTTTTAGAGTATAACACAACTGAAATGTGATTATTGCAAAAGGAATAAGATTCTATTTTTCAGTACCCATTTAGTTCTTTTTTTCCTATCATATTTTATCTTAAGATCCCTATATTTTTCATTGCATTCAAAATGATGTTAATTCTGATGAAAGTTTTACGAAGAATTACCTTGCAAAAACCTTAAATCTTTCTCAGTGAATTTTTTTCTCTCTCACCTTAACATTGATTGGTGAACCTCGTGAGTGGTATAGACCACAATGCAATTGCTCATTGCTGCCCAAAGATTATCAAGAATTGCTCTTAAGTACTGAAAACAGCTCTCTCTTTAACACAATTCTTTTACATTTTTAATTAGTCACTTTTCTGATAATTTAGATTTTCTAATCTGTTGTAATTTGAACTTTTATTTTCCAACTGACATAGTTTTATTAATAGACCTGTTTACAATTCAGATATACCCTTATCTGTTTCTAATCCCAATAACCTCAATTTATATATTCCATATTAATATAACCAGTTTTGACTGATATATTACTTCTAAACCAAATGAATGTTGGTATGTAGAAATATTCAGGTGTTACTTCTTGGTATGCATTATAGATATTTTAATATTGTTTTGTAGTTATAAAATTACTGAAAAACACACTTTGAACATGACTCAGTAAATCAAAATTACTGTGGAAACAATTTTATAAGAAATTGAATTATATAATTTGAGGTATTAAGTGAAAGTAAATTTGAATAGATTTTTTTAATAGGTACATAAAAATATACCACTGCTAAATTTAAAATATATATTTTATTTTTATTTTATCCAAGTTTATTCATGTTTCAGTAAACATTGAATTTTATGTATGTAGATAGTGATATTATCTGAATTTTTAACTCAAATATCTCTATTTTGGAAATGTATTTTTCAATAAAAAATCATTTTCATTATTGTTTGTAACTTTGAGAAGAGCCATTAATGTAGCCAACATTGTTTAGATGATTTAATCTCTTCTTTTTCATAATTGTTGTTAACATGACACTTCCTCCCAAACAACTATTATACAAAAAGATTTGATGATCCTGACAATAGTTTTTAGCATAATTTATAGAATTGATAAACACTTCATTACCATAAGTGACAGTTAATGGCATTTTTGTTGGTATTTTATATAACCAAATCCGTGGAAAAATCTGTTGTCTTTGCAATTGAGAAATAAAATACAAGGAGTGCTGCCAAGTTCTCAGCCTCATTAAAAAAAAAAAATCCTCTGATCAGTTTTTGGGAAGTGGGTTTGCTTGGAAACTATTCTGCACTTCCTTGTATAAAGTAATTTATATTTTAATGATACAGAAAAAAAAAATTATTTAGAAATTTAAAAAGTAGCATAACCATTTATGAAATTACAATCCTGGGAAAATATTCTTGTTCAAATTTAAGGAATCTTTTTTAATTTTTAAAATAGTCCTCTTTTACACTGGCATTCTTCTTTGCTCAATTCTATGACTGCAGTTGGCTGATGTGAAACACTGGCCAAGGATGTTGACTTTCTAAAAGTTTATTATTGAATAGTATTTCAATTTTGATAATGGAGTTGTAGATAGTAAAGGGATTCCTAACATTTGGTCTATGTAGAGATTGTTATAACCATCACAAGTATGATAATATATCAATCGACAACTTTTTAATTGTTTTTGTTGTTTTTTTAATATCAATATTATTATTATTATTATTATCTGAGCTGTATGGAAGTTATTAAGCTTATTTTTATTTTTTCATCACTTGCAAAAGAGACTAACTCATTTCCAATTTCCAACAGCTCTTTTACCTGATGCTGGATAAATACCTATTTTTTTATATTGTGACACATTACAATTGGCTTCATTTTTAATATAGATAAGTTATAAGAGAATTATGGTGTTTTATTTTGTTTTTTGTTTTTTTTCCACTGTAAATTTTTGTTACTTATTGTTTTTCTTTTCATTTTCTAGGAGGGAATTCTTGCGGAAGTTGCAGAAGTCTTTTGTCTGGTTTTTCCAGTTTTGGGATTTCAAGAACATTGTTGTGACTAAAGCCAACCTCTTAAAATGAGGAAGGTTAAGATACTTTTCTGAAAATATGTGTTAAGAGATTTTGTATTTAAAAATCTTACTTTGCTCTCATACCTTACATCCCATGCTTTTTTTTTTCCCCCCCTGGTTTTCATTTTATTTTTAATATAACTTGTTCTATGAATTGTCCCATTTATTTATCGTCCTGAAAATTTCTGTGATACTAAACAAAAAGAAAAATAACAAAGATATTTGGAGAAAAAAAGGACAAAGCAAACCACAAATTTAGAAAACTGGAAATCCCGAGCCTTTCAAAATGGCAGCAGCAGTAGATATAAAGACCATTTTAACTCCAACAGAAGAGATTGCCAATGGATCAAACCTTTTTGCTCCAGATGATGCTGACACAGAAATGTCAGCTCTCACATCTAAGGTCAGTGGCATTTTTTTTTTTTTTTTGTGTGTGTGTGTTCATGTTTGAGATATGTTTTTAAAGCATCTTTGATATGAGAATTTCAGATATGAATTTAATAATGACAATGTTCGATTTAATGATTCATTCCCATATTTTCATAATTGTTACCCATGTATTTTCATTTTAACAATTTAAGGTTTCTGTTGTGAAAGAAAACTAATTTAAGCATTAGCTGCATTTAACTTTACATATTTTCTCTAGATTAAAAACGTTAGAACAAATTTAAAATAAGTGGCTAGGATTAACAGTAGAAAATTATTTCAGGATCCAGAATTGCTGAAGACAACTTCTTTTTTAAGTTTTCAGTTTTCAAAATTAATTCATATAGTCTTTTTATTTTTTTAAATTTATGTACGATTCACATATTGTCTTGTATCATTGTGGGGAGTGAAATTTTATTTCCTTAAACATTCTTTAGGCAACTTCAGTCACCAAGGAAAACATTTGTCCTGTCATTGCAGTTGATGCCAATGGCCAAATTACAGTATATTTAAATTTCACAATTGGGTTGTCACATCCTGCTATAGCAACAGCAAAAAACAGGCTTGATTTAAATTGAGATCAAAGTTGCTGCAGTTTGTATTTGAGGAGCCTCCATATATAGTGGAAAGAAAAGTATATAAAATAATGTCGAGTGCTAAAGGCTAACTATATTTATTTTCAACTTTGTCAGTATATTTTGCACAATTTTGGTTAATAGCTTCCACAGTTTTTCATTTCTCTCTCATTCCAGATGGCATTAGTGAGTCCAAACAGTGAGGAATATGATGCCTTATCAGAAATTGTAAAATCCCGTGTGGAAGAAGGCCAAGGAGAAAACATTTATGTAGTTGGTGTTGGGGGTAAGTATCTTTTTTCTTCTTTTTTGCCTATTTTTTTTCCTTAAGTAATAGGAATTTATTAGATAACTGCTACATGCAGGGCTCCAGATTAACATTTTTCACCATCATTCCAGAACCATCCTGGAAAACAACATAGTTGAAAATTTTTTTGTGACAGTCTCAAAATCAAAATGATTTTTTAACTTTATCATTTATAGTTGTTAATAGCATAATAAAAACACAACTGTTTAGGAAATAAAAATTTATTTTAAGTCAGTTTCGTCTTTAAACTAAGATCCCTTTGTCCTGCAGCCACTACTCCACCACTTGGTCCCTGCTTTTCCTGGCGTCATATTGTTGAGCAGCAGGATTATGAATACTGATTTGCAAGAGGCAATTGAGCATTACAATTTAGTTAAGTGATTTGTTAACAGGAGTGCAATAAAATTGGATTTAATTTCTGTGAGAAACTCATTTGAAATTATTCCTAATTATTCTGATCAATTATAAGAAATAAAGTGCACTGTGTTCAATTGTTGAATGCAGTATATTGATGCATCTCCAATACTTTTGCTTTGTATATTTTTGTAAAATTTTCCAGTAAATTTATGCATAGACACAAAAAAATTATTTTTGCTTAGATATCCTAAGCATTTTTGTTCAACTCGGTTTTTGAATTTGGAGCCATGTTAGAAATTGTTCTTCTTAAAAAAAAATGCTTTAAAGATTTTTCTGTGACTGTATACATCATCAAATTTCAAAGACAACATTAAATTGCATGATTCTTTGCTTTATAGTTATTATGCACAAACTGATGCCAAATTAAACATGATCCATACTGTTTCCATGGCGAAAGAGAGTCACTTGTGTGTTCTGGACGATATGCCGAAGATAAAATAACCAAAATACTAACAAGTCTATTGCAGGTTGCAATAAATGCATCTTGGATACAGTCAGTCCATTGACTCCATCACTAGCATGATGGCCAAAAGGAAAGTTAGATGTTAGCAATGTGTGGACCCAGGTTGAGATGTACATCACTCATCATGATAGTAAACATTATTTGATGCTGATTGACTGTGGACCCACTTGATTCACAATCTGGCAACAACTACATTGACAATATTCACTCAGTGTCATCAACCATTTAAAGGCCCTATTTTTTTGAATGGGGACCTCCTTCAGAAATTTTTACTGATAATGACACTGCTTTCCATAGTAAACCATTCAAGTTCTTAGATAGGTGGGGAATCCATATCTATTTCTGCTGCGCACACGTCCCCTCAGGTTATGGGATAGTTAAACATTTCCACTGAAGCATAAAGCAAATTGCTGTGAGGAAACAATGTTCAGTGATGGAAGCTGTATACCATTATAGAGTCTGGGCATAAGGTATTGATAAAACACCTTCACCAAAACAAGTGAATGATTGACATATGGGTTAGGGGACCATGTGTGGGTAAAACCCTTTCAAAACCAATGTACAACTCTATCTATTGGGATGTGTCACAGGGATTAGAAGGATGCATGCTATTTCTGTTGATGGGATGCTGCACCATGTAAGGGATCTGTGCTCCTTATGTTGGTTCAAACACATCAACAAGTGATGTCGACAGCAAGTCTTCTAACGATGAGGGACTGGTCAAGATAAGAGATGCCTCAAGTATGTCCATGGAAGAAAACTACACTCAGTCTTGTGGAAATACGTCTGACATCCCTTTGGGAGGCGATTCATCAGGTGAGGAGACTAAAGTTGTTCCTTTGAGAAGAAGCACAAGGCTTAAGAAAAAAATCATCCTGGCTGTCATCAATGTGATCATGAGATCAGTGGGGAGTGTGGCGAAAGAGAAAGTCACTTACTGAAAAAAAAGGTCCCATGTATTCTGTATGATATCTTGAAAAGAAAATAACCAAAATACAAACAAGTCAGTCGCAGGTTCTCATATTAGCATCTTGGATATGCTAATATTGTGTCCTCTCCCACCTGTTGACCAATGAAAATAATGTTCCATCAATAAAAGTGGTTCATGAATTGGGAAGTTTATTTTTTTTTTTTTTTTTACCTCATCCATCGGTTTGTGTGTTGGATTTCTGACTGTTTACGTGTATTGGGATTTGTGACACTGGACCTGTGATTCCTGATTTTAACATTCCTTTCTGCCCCTGGATCTTCAAGTTTGGACTTATGATTTGTTTGTTTCGTTGTGGAATTGAGCTGCCATATAAATTTAACAGTTTCAGAGCATATGATCAAATCTATCACAGTAAAACACTTCTATGGGTAGGCAACATTCTAGTTTCAAAATTTAACATACACTTGAGGTAAGTTGAAGTGTACAGTAGCTGAAACATGAAAAAATTCCAGGAAATGCATGCAAATAAGCCAACATATAGTAAAACAACTGGTTTAAAATTCAGATATTAATTTTCATACATGAGGGGGTGCTGAAAAGTTCTCAGTCCAACCCACTTCCCAAAATCTAACCAAATGACCAAACAGAAATGTTTTTCTTTTTAACTCTTTCTCCTGCCAATTATTTTTGGGAAAAACTTTTCCTTTTGAGACAATTTTTTTTATTTGTTTTTAATATAGTAATTAAGAAACTGTGGCACCTTGTAGTACCCAAGCAGTGGCTAATATCTTTACCAGATGTATGAGTTGACAATTGGACTCGTTTCAAGCTCAGAAGAGCATAAAAAGAATCAAGATCAGCATATAAAGATGTCTTGTTTTTGAACGATACGTTTTGGATGTGTTTATTTGTCCATGTCTAAAAAAATACGCTTTCGGTAAAAGTGTATATGCATGTCTATGCTGGGAAGGGATTAATTCCATTTTAGTTTGGTCTGACTGAGAACTTTTCAACATCCCTCTTTTATTAAAATCTCCAAATTTTTTTTTTCTCTTTGTGAAATGAAATCTGTATGTTGCTTTTATTGCTTCATTTAATCCAGAAAATCTTTACATATATTGATATCTATTTCAGTTTGCCTACATCCTTCTCTATTTTTTCTATCTATCTCCCTTTCTAATATTATATATGGAGACAAATAATCTATGTTTGTAACTTTTGCAGAGGGTGGCAAACCTGGCTTGAAAGATGATGATCTCCTAGCATCTATAGCCACCTTACAAAGTATCAGCCAATCATTAGACCTTGAATGTGTTCACTTGAGAGAAAGGATAGCAGAAGAGGGAAAAGTTGCCGAATTTCTACTCAGAAAAAAAGTAGCACAAGAAGATTTTATGGAAATAAGGTTTGGATTGTTTTTTTGTTTATTTTTTTATCTTATTTTTATCCCCTTTGATTCATATTGATTCTTTTCTTATATCTGCTCATATGTGGCCTTGGGTTTTGTCACTCAAAATTTATGCCACTTTGGATAATAAAAACAACGTTAATTAACATAAGGAAGGTCATTGGTTTTCTCAAACTTAGTAGCAGAATAACAGCTGCAAAATATGGAATTTTACTTTCTCAGCCTTGATTGGAAATAACTATTTAAAAAAAAAAAAAATTAACTTAAAGTTACATTGTTGCATGAAATACAATCCTGCATTACATTTTTTATCATTTCTCCCCAAGTAAGGTGATAAGGTCACTAAGACACAAGGGAGCTACTGGATGTGAAACAGAATGGGAAGAATTTAGGAGAAGGGACTGGAAACCCAATTCTAAATAGGAAACAAGGGATAAACCTGTTCAAAAGTCGAGGAAAGCATGTAAGCCAGGCAATAGGTGAACCTAATCCAGCATTGTATTTGCACTAATTTCTTTACAATGTAATTTTTGCATACTGCCCTACCATTTGAATCAAATCTTTAAACTGAACTGAATATTCATCAGGCAGTTGTATTGTAAGGATTCAACTCTCACATTGCTAATGGCTGCAGGAAAGTGAAGCATGCAAAGGTTTGTGCACATTTTGTTTCTAGTAAACGAGTTGAAAATTCATTATAAAGACTAATAGAAATATATTTTTAAAAAACATGCCATGACAGTAAATAGTACACAATATCTCATATATTCTGAGAATTATGTGAGTAAACATTAAATTTGAACCAAATCAGCATTTTCTTTGTTAATCAAATATTGATTCCCTACACGCACACATTTTTAGTCTCTTTTTACTTTTTGTAGCATTTATCATTTAAATTTTTTTAAAATTATTTTGAAAAGAATGATATTATTCTTTGTTTCAGAGTTTAAGCTATCATACTACTTTTAAATATTATAATTTCTTATTTTTGTAGTGTGTTAAAATTGCAATTGTTTAAATTGAAATATTAGAAAGAGCAGTTTTGAAATAAGTGTATATTAGCTAGTATATTTTATCTAGGCATGACTTTGGAAAAACATGTCTACGGCATATGTGTGTGTGTGTGTGTGTGTGATAAAAATATAATCTTAAGGTATGCTGTATTTATGGGTAAAAGTGCCTCAATATCAGAGAGTGTATTTAAATATAAAAGCTAAAACAAGACTCTCTTATATTTACATACACTCTATCTTGTCATGCAAAGCTAAAAGTTTCCAATTAGCTTATTATTTGCCCTTAGCTAATAGGAGTAGATAGGTTTGCCTATTGTCCTGTTCACACTCTGCCCTAGTCTTTTGAGGTTCAACCCTTGTTCCCTGTTTAGGATTGGGCCTCCAGTTTCTTTTAAAATCTTTTCGTTCTCTTTCATTCTCAGTGTCTTGGTGGCATTATCGCCTTGATTGGGGTGAATTGATTTTTTTTTTTTTTTTTTATTAGAGTGGAGGGTAAAAATTGGATTCATGCCTTTCCCAAGGGCATTATTCCCAAAGTCTAAAAGTATACACAAATTATTCCAGCTGGAGCTTGAACTCATTTGTTCATTTTCTGTCTATTTTTTTGTGCAGTTAACCATCTGGCCACCTGCATCTTGGAGGCCATGTTATTGTTTTTATAATTCATTTGAAGTCAGTTGATCCATCAACATTGATAATCCATTCAAGACTGTAGATTTGTGGGTATCATGAAATTGATGTTACAGACGTTTTTATACACTTTTTTTTTTTTTTTTTTTTTTTTTTTTGTAACTTTTTCAGAGTGGCAGTTGTTGGTAATGTAGATGCTGGCAAAAGTACTTTACTTGGGGTCCTCACCCATGGGGAGCTGGATAATGGCCGTGGTATAGCTAGGCAGAAATTATTTAGACATAAACATGAAATGGTTTCTGGTCGAACAAGCAGTGTTGGTAATGATATTCTTGGATTTGATGCCACTGGAAATGTTGTCAACAAACCTGAACATGGAAACTTGGACTGGATAAAGATTTGTGAACAATCATCAAAGGTGAGTGCCCAGATTCCACTTCAAAAAAGAAAATTTCCTTTGGTAAGTGCATAGAAATCCTGCATATGTTCATGCTGTTGGCCTTCATTTTATATAACATTTTGTGTTTCTTTTTGTTTTTTTTTATAGGTAATCACATTCATTGATTTAGCTGGACATGAAAAGTACTTGAAAACAACTGTGTTTGGTATGACTGGCCATGCACCAGACTTTGCAATGCTCATGGTAAGTTTTTTTCTTCTCTTTCTTTTTATCCCACTTAAAATTTCACATCGGATTTGTTTCTCTGTTTTGCTTCTCTGGCCATAAATTGGACCAAACCAGACAGACAAAGCTGTTGATCAGAATTCCCCATAGTATTCACACACTTCTTCCTGCTGCTATTTACATGTGCTATCACTGGAGTTTTGTTTGTGCATACATTAGGAGACACAAGGTGCTACTCAATGGATTCCTACAGTTTCTATCTGGCTCTGAATAATTACGTCTCACCCATTGTCCAGCATGAAAGATCGTTTTTCATGAGAGCATTGTTAGATTCTGCGATTGACCACATCCAACATCTTGCTGTCTATGTCTCCACCATAATCCTGACAGGGGTTGCTTCTACGTGCTATGTCTTGCCTAAAGGCAACCTGTTGTTTGGTTGTTAGTTTTGAATTCAAATTGGTCCTCCTCCTAGTCTGATTGCCAGTCACTGCTAGAGAAACCAGTCTGCTCTGCTATTTAACCTATAGCATGAGGGAAACTAGATGGATTCATACTTTTCCCAAGGGCATTTGTGTGTAAGTGAATGTAATGATCTTGACTAGAATTTGAAATTGACTCTGAGTTCTCATTCCTAGCCACTATCCATTGCCTAACCAACCTTTCTAAATAGTCTTTCTGCTTGATGCCAGTTTGTTTGATGCAACCTTTGTGTCCTCTGTTAAAACCTTGACAATCTCTAATTTCTTATTTGAGAGCTTAAGAAAACAGTGAGAAATTAGTGATGCAGCTTTAGGTCAGGTGTATTATAAAAATAAACTGTGCACTGAATTTCCTTCTTTTTTTTTTTTTTTTTTTTTTTTTCATCAAAATTACAATGAAACTTTAATCCAAATGACATTTGTAGATGAAAATTTAAAAAATGTACTTACAAAAGAGAAAAAGTTTAAGTGAAGATGTTTTATCTGTATTCAAGCATGCAGAGAAGATAGTTTTATTTAGCAAGAGAAGAGGGCTTTTAAATTTAATGTTATATAACACTGTATGGCTGGCTGGGATGAGACTTATTGTCATTAGGCCACCTACTTAATTTGAGTAGAGTTGAGCAAATAATTCTATTGTCTATTTTAATCTACATGTATGCAGACGGTACAAAAGTTCAAATGTTCTATTGTTTAGGTAGTGCAACTAGAGATATATATAAGAGAAGACTTAATAGTGAAGTGTTCTTTGTCTGTACAGAAAGTGTTGTCAGGTTGGTACAGAGTGCCACATTGAGCCACAGTGTTATATGCACCACCATCCACTGGAACTGCTGTTGGAAAAATAATAATAGGTTCTCCCTGCAAACACTGGCTGTTATCTTCAGTGTGTCCAAGTGAATCTTTCTCCGACTTCATCCCTTGTGAACATACCCCAACCAACACCAGCAAGCTATCTTAAAAAAAACAAAAAAAAACATGATGAAACATAATGTGGGTCGATTGCCTGTTTATCAAATCTGCCAGGATGGTAGTGTATAGCCACAGTTAAACTATTAAATTTTAGTCTCTCTCTGTGATGCTTTCAGAGGTTTCTAAAGCTAAGAATCAGCTAATGTTATCAGTCTTTCTTTATTAGGTCACCTATGAAGTTTGGTGCTGAGTGGACCATTTGTGTTATAGTTGGACAAAGACTTAATATGTAGAACTTTTATTTTTATTATTTAACTAGCGTAGAAGCCGCCCTTCAGGCAGACTTTAGACTAGTTCCTGTGGGGAGCTTTTGGGCTTTCTGTCTTTTACTTTCAACGTCCTATATACGTAAAAGTTCATTTGACATCTTAATTTGGTATAATTTTTCTTTGTACACTCATCCTATCGCCATAGTTTATTTTGCATGACATGTTTTTTTTTTCTTTTAAAATCACCATTTTTTTTTATGATTCCTTCACATAAAGTCACTTTTAAGACATTAGGGAACCTGAACTGTGTAATATTTTGAATACGTCACATTATGTGTGTTAGAAAACGAAAAAAAACAAAACATGAGCAACATACTGTGCCCTGCTCAAGTTTTAATTATGACTTAATTCGACCATATTTATTTCAATTGTGACAAAAAGAAAAATTAAAGTTAAACCTCTAATAAAGGATTGTTTTTAAACTTTTCACTACGTTAGACATTTTAAATTTAACTCTTAATGAGTTATTTAATTTTTAATCTGGTGTAACTATAGTAGTTAACTACCTGTTACTTCAGGTTGTTTAGGATTTGCCAAGATTGAAAAATGGACAGACAGATGGACATACATACACTGCACTTTATTTATATAGAAAATGGCACTAATTTCCCAGAGATTTTGTTTTATCAACCTTTGTTCTTTTCTCTTTTTTAGGTCGGGGCTAATGCTGGTGTCATTGGCATGACAAAAGAGCATCTAGGTCTTGCATTGGCCCTTAATGTCCCTGTGTTTGTTGTGGTCACAAAGATTGATATGTGTCCGCCCAATGTGATGCAGGATACCATGAAGCTTTTGCAGCGTCTGCTCAAGTCTCCTGGTTGCCGAAAGATTCCTGTCCAAGTGCAAAACAGTGACGATGTTGTGTGTACAGCTACCAATTTCACGTCTGAAAGGTTAGCTATTATTACTTGATTTGATTGTTGCCAAGTTATATGAAATTGCATGATCAAACCTCCTTAGACTCACCATGCAGTATCAAGCCACAGCCTCACCACACTAGGTGTTGCCACTATGGTTTCTATAGTATGAACATTTTCATGGAATAGACTTGCAATCCCTACACTCAATCAGTTTTATATTCAGAGGTGTCCTTCTACACTGGTTACCAATCATGGCTAGAGAGCTCAGTTTACCTTGCTATTTAACTCCTAGCTATAAGAGCTGAATTTATACCCTTTCCTGGGGGTATTTGAGTGAAAATGATCCTGATGAATGATATGGTTATACCGCAAAAAAAATAGGGGACAGAAAAAAAACCAAAAAACCTGCCCTGATTTTCAGTTCAGGTAAACTTTTTTTTAAAAATCCAAAATAGCATTGTGATAAACCATGAAGTGAGCAAATGAACTGCCTTTTCCATGCATTAGATACTGAAATGGAAAGATGTAACAAAAGTAAATAGATATTTCTGTTTTCAAACAAGTACTTCTATTCAGCAAGCTAAACAATTCATTGGATTTACCATTAGCAAATAAAGCATTAATTTTCTCAGATTTCTTGTGTAATATCTGACCAAGTTGCACAAAGCCATTTTCATTTTCTCTTTTTATTATAATTTTTATTATAATTTTTTTTTTTTTTTTTTTTTAAGGTTGTTTTGGGAAATTTTTTTATTTTATTGTCCAGACATGTTCAGTGAGATTTGTATTAGTAGGTCAATTTGATCACAAGATGTGCTTAATTTTTTTTTTTTACTATGCCAATGAAGGGAAAAACAGTCTTACCTCAAAAAAGAATTCATGTCTCTTTGTGCTATCTTTCAAAAAAGGAAATCACAATCCAGATCAGGTCGACTTTAGTAGACCTTGAAATACAGTAACCAGTCACCTTTCTTACTGTAACAAGAGAATGTTACTTTGGATGACAGGGAGATGCTTGGTTCTTCATTGAAGAAGGTAGTTGTGTATTGTGATGTGGGTTTTTTTTACCCATTTTTATTTACACTCACATTTTCTGATGTTGGACTTGTGACTGATTAATGAGATGTTATACTACATCTGGCAGCAAGATCTCTCATCGGAGCTTCTGAGGAGCATGGAAATTAATTGCTGTTGTTCCTAGGTCCACCCTTACCTGGGATGGTAGCACCTTTAGGGTCCCCAAAAGTGAACCCGCTCCCAAACAAAACATGAATGCATAAAAATACATTTTTATAGTAAAAATACCAACAATATATTTTTACATAAAAAAAAATTACCAATAATACCTGTTTATAGTAGAATGACCAACAATACATTTTGTCTAGTTGAAACCATAAAATTGTGTTCAAAATATTTAGATTTGGGCATTAAATAAGCCATTGAGGTTGGTATGCTGCTAAACAAAATCAACCAGCTGTCATACTAGCCGTATGAAGATGCTTTTTCTTAGATTGATTTGGATATGTTCTGCTATATTTGTCACTTTCTAACACCTTTTGCGAATAGTCTAACCTAATTAAGATACAGTGACTTACTTTTTGTCACTGGGGAACTGTAAAATTCAAAATTCAATCCTATTTTGCACCATCAGATTGACCAATAATGCCTCTTTAAAATCTAATAGTTCCCATACTGTGAACAGAAGGAATTGTGAAGTCATTGCTTTTTATAGTAAATTGAGGATGTCAATCAAATATCTGATTTAAGTGAAAGAATGGTGTCTTTTTACTTAACTACATCTTTGTAATCATATCAAGTTTGCTATTATCATTAGTGTTATATCCCAGGTGGTTGGGATGAACAAAAATGAGGGAAAATAAAAGAACATTTTTTTTTTTCTTGTTTAACACATAAACAAACAACTTTAATTCACTCACTGTCTGAGAACAGCAAGAGTTGTATGGATTAAAGCAAATGAATTCCATGTGTGTCAGCTGGTTACCATGTTCAATTCAGAAGTGCCACACTCGTCTTCAAGACAAGAGAAGTAACTCAGTTGTATTTTGAGTTATCATCCTTTATAAAAAATTAGCTTCCCCTAACAATTGGTATAAGTATTAACATTGCCCTTGTAGTTATTTAACTTTTTCAACAAATTTCAAATTAGGATCTTGTTAAAAATGTGTTTATACTTTATTTCTGAATGTTCTTGTTACAAGGACTATAACATTAACTTTGTTTCCATGTAAATGTTTTAAATTCACAATGTAAACAATTATGGTGGCCAATTGAAAGTTAACAGCTGTACTTGGACAGGCATCCAATTTAAAAGTGATGTTAGTTTGTTTCTCATTTGGAATTTATTAATTTTTTTCCAATCCATAAGATGCTGTCAAATGACAATCTGTGTAGATTCAATGAAATGCAAGTAAAAAATTAAGATTAAATACTAAGATTTAATAATGCTTGCCAATGCTTCATCTTGTTAAAATAAAATCAAGATCAAACAATGAAGTTGCATTTTTTATTTGTAAAGGTTTGGGCCAGATAAAAATTGATAAAAAATCTTTCAGGTACATGTTTTCTGTCTTCAGAATGTGTCCTATCTTCCAAGTGTCCAATGTTACCGGTGAAAACCTTGACCTGCTCAAGATGTTCCTCAACCTATTGTCAACTCGACACAAGTATGATGTCTCAGAGCCAGCGGAATTCCAGATTGATGACACTTTTTCTGTACCAGTAAGTAAACCTTGGGAGGGTAAAAAAAAAAAAAAAAATGTCATTGGTTAGGGTTGACATTTATAAACATAATAACCTTTAGTTCTATGCATTATTTCAGTACATTACTTTTTCTTCCACAGAATTCTTACAAGCTCCTCAACACCATTAACTTCACTGTAAATTTCAGTCAAGAGCAATTTCTATTGCCATACTTTTATTGCCTAGAGATAAGGTGCTTCTCCAATTAGCTAAAGACAATGTGCTTTTCATATTATCTAAAGACTTACAGTCACCATGTTGAAATACCAGTTCCCATATGACCACCGGTTAAGCAACATCAAACCTTGTCAGTATGTAGATGGGTGACCACTTGGAAATACCAGGTTCTGTAAGTTTGGATGTGCATATGGTGTAATGGATAATGGCTTAGAATTGTTAATCAGGGAGAGTGTTCCAATTTTAGTTGAGTTCATTATATTCACTTATGCGTAAATTCCTTTGGGAAAGTATAAATCCATCTCTTCTCCCTCCGGCTATTAGTTAATTGTTAAAACTTATATCACTAAATTTTTAAAAAATTCTTACAATCCAAGAATATTTTCTGACTTTAAATAACATGCAATAAGCCATAAAAAAAATGAATCTAACAATCAATATCATCTAAAGACAAGGTCTTTTTTAATATAATGTAGCTTAAAGCCCAAATCCTTCTCACTGTGTACCTATCAATGTACAAATAAGATAATCCTGATGCTATTTGGTGTTTTAAGGTGCCAGTGACAGATAAGCAACTTTTAATCCACTTATTTTTACTTGGATTACCTCCTTGATAAAAAGACCTACGAAATCATAGGGAAAATAAAGGGAGATAACCGATTAAAGAATTCTTAATACGTTGTTTTGTAATGTGACACAATACTTGTTTGAAGATTTTTATTTTTTCCAGGATACTTTTACACATTCTTAATGACTACAAAATGGAATAAGTTATGAAAAAGTAATGTTGATAGAATTATAACATAAAATCAAAAGTGTAAAGAGATTTAATAGCAATAAGGATGGACATTTAATTTAAAGAAGCAGATTTACAGAAAATGGTACCCAACATGTCATGTGAGACGTTAAGAAACTACAGCAGATTCCACTTAAATGGAACACATTGGCATCATGAATTTTTCATTGTAAATGGGCCACACCTTTTAAATGAAGTTACATGAAATAGACAATTTTAAAAAAAGTGGATTTTGTTTTTATGCAGTTGCTCCTAAGCACCTATTCCTTGTTACTAATGTTTCATTTGACTGGAATCTTCTCTATTAAAAAGCATTTTGCTGCAGATTCACTTATCTTTATCTTGTATGCATTGTTATGGCAAAAAACAAAACTTTGTGCATACTAATACACGATAGATATTTCTACTGTAGATATCACCATGCGAAAACGGTCTCTTATTTTATTTTTTTTTTTTTTCCATGTATGTTTAAGATCATCATTATTTCAAATTTTCTACCATTTGTTCATGCATTGAATATTACTGCAACATCTGGTCTGGTGCTCCTACTCAGGATTGATTACATTACAGACTCTTTGAATTTTGTCATCACAAGGTGACAAAATTCAAAGTGTCTGTAATGTAATCAACCCTGACCTGGCATCTTGACTTCAGTCACTTTCTAACCAATGGGGTATGACTTCCCTCTGTCTTTTCTACAAATATTTTCATGGCAATTGTTCTGATGAACTTTTCTCCTTGGTGCTTTGACTGCATGAATTTAAGCATACTTGTAGATTGGCAACTAGGTATCATTGTTTTACTGTTGAACTAGTTAGATAAAACCGTATGTTCTAGTCTAATAATTTCTTTTCTCATACTTCTTGTCCATGGAACTCCCTTCTGATTTCTTACTTTCCTGCCATCTTCAAAAATTTAAATGCAACACCAATCACCATCTTCCAAGTTCTTGAATCTTATTCTTTTGTCCTTTCTCATTACTAAAGTCTCGTCATTCTCTTTCACTCCCAGTAACCCCTTGCATCTTAGTGGCATTATTGCCTTGCTTGGGGTGAAAGGATTAAAAGAAAAAGACAATAATAAAGTGTTGTTTCATAGTCTATATATTTCTTTAAACTTTCTTTCATTTGTTTAAATGAATATATTTTGGTCAAATTCTTCAGCCTTTGTATGTTGTATCTTTAGAAATCATTAGTTCTTTTCTTTTTCCTTTTCATCCTTTCAACTAGAACATGACAGTCCATTACAAAGTTTAAATGACATGCATTTAAGGAAAGTTGAAGAGTGTATTGCCTGAAATATTGTTTTAAAAATAACAATATTAAAAAATATATATGAAATATATAGTTACACCTGTGCACTATATTTTTTTCCCCCTCCTTCAGGGTGTCGGTACTGTAGTATCAGGAACTCTTCTACGAGGTTTGATCAAACTGAATGACACGATCATGTTAGGACCTGATTCCCTTGGCCAGTTTCAGAGTATAGTCATCAAAAGTATTCATAGGAAACGCATGCCAGTGAAGGAAGTACGAGGAGGACAAACCGCATCATTTGCTTTAAAAAAGGTAAAGATAATTTGGAAGATGATTTTTAACTTTTTTTTGTCTTTATGCTCATTATATTTATTTTAGTTTGGAAAGATTTTTAAAAAATACATTATCTTTGCTGTTTTTTTTTTTTAATCCAAAATATATTTTAGTTTTAAATGTTCCACAAAGAGTTGATATGCTAAAAAAAACTCCAAGAAAAACTGACTAATGAAACACACGCGTCCATAATACTTAGCCACTCAGCAAGTTTTCAAATCTTTGCATTAGTAAATGGTCATCAATTAAAGTGATAAAACCATTTTTTTTTTTTTTTTTTATAAATAAATGCCATTTATAAGTTCTTTTTATTGTTCAGTCTTAATGATATCATTCTTGAAAAACTGTCAAACATAAAATTGATTTTTCTAAGATTATCATCCTTTCAATAATTTTTTTGTTTCTTAGATCAAAAGATCCTCAATACGTAAAGGGATGGTTATGGTGTCTCCCAAATTAGAACCAAAGGCATGCTGGGAGTTTGAAGGAGAGATCCTTGTCTTGCATCATCCAACTACTATCAGTGTGAGGTACCAGGCTATGGGTAAGTACCCTTTTTCTTTACTTATTTTTCTTGCTGTACCTGTCAAACACTTGTATTCATAAGTATGTAACTAAGCAGCATTTCAATAGCGTCCCTATTTTGGTGTTTATTGCCATAGTAGACTCTGAAAATCATTTCAAAATTAATATCTCCTATATTATTATTATGTTGGGCCATAATGTCAGAAGCACATATGGGGATATAGCAGCAATAGTGGCTGAAACCCTCTCCCTAATAATCTCAATTTTGTTTTTTTTTTTTTTTTTTTTTTTACACCTTGTTATAGAATAGTAGCAGTCTGGCAAAAGAGCAACTGACATGAAAATACATATGAAACAGAGTTGTATCATTGAATTCTTCCATGTGAAAAATTGCACTTATTGACATTGAATGTTTATGGAGACCAAATAGTGGATGTAATGAGTATCAAGCTGTGTGTGTGTGTGTGTGTGTATGACACAAGCCATAAACCAAGCTATCCTGCACAGCTGTCAACCAACAAAATGAAGAGTGTCTCAATAATGTATAGCTGATGGTGATGACTAGAAAAATAGCATTTTGTAGCTGAAAAATTGTGTCCAATTGTGTTATTGCACTCCTTGTGTCTTTATACCTTCTGTGGAAATAAATAGGAGCCATTATTTTTTAGGCTTATCTCATATATTTTTGTAATTTTTTAAAGATTTAGCTTAATTTACAATCATACTTTGACATATTTCCAATTTAAAAGACGGCAACTGAAAACTTGATCTGTTTTGCATTGAATGAAACTTTGCAAACCTCTTAATACGATTGGGGTGACTGACTATAAAACTTCAGTTTGAATTTGTTTATAATTTATTAGTTTATAAAAGGGAGGATTGCATAGTTCTTGGCACAACCCACTTCCCAAAATCGGTGTTCTGATATTTGGTCAAGTGGGTTGGCCTGATAACTTTTCAACACCTTGACAATACCTTTTTTCTTTTTTTTTCTTTTTTTTTTTTATATGTTGAGTGAAGTAACGTTTTACAAAATATCTTCATGGAATTATCTCCCTTATCTTTATTGTATACTTCTAAATTATTTCAAATCAGAAGACATTGTTTCATAACTAAGTAACCTGTTTATGAAATATATTTTTTCCTTTCCAATGCTGATTTGTAACTTAAAATGAAAAAACAATTTTCTTTTTAGAAACACGCACAAATTTTATAAAGATTTTATTCATCAATTTTGATATTGGCTATCTTATATTGCTCACAAATATCGCACTAGGGAGTTGTACTGTGGGTAGTAGAGCAGAGGTCAAGGTTTGTGTAGACAAATGATAACGGATTACATGCTAAGGATGTTACTATAAAAGACACTATTTAATTTATAGTCTTTTGGAAAATAATATTTGGATTGATTAACTAGACTTCTATAATTTATTTTTATTTAAAACTTCTTACAGTAACTTTTCTTTTTTTTTATGTACATGCATTCAAAGATGGCAGTGAAATCTATTTCTGTATAGCAAACCTTTTTAATAGATTAGTAACATTGCCCATTTAACCGTCTATCTGTTGTCAAAAGGCAAAGCTTCTGAAAGGTTATATAGAATGTCATTAAATTGCTTGCACATGTTGAAAGAAAATAGTATTTACTATATTCTTAAGATGTCTTTTTATGCAAAAATTTCAATCTTAATTTGAATTTCCTTTATTAATTTTCATTTATTATTTACATTTTATTAAATAAATGAATTAACCAAATTAAATGTTTTTAAAATGTTAAATTACTGCGTGATCATATTGTCCTTTCTATAAATCTGCAATGATCATAAAGCTGAAAAGGGAAAATGAAGCTTTCTCTAAAAACAAAAATATCAGACATAGTGCGATGGGTAAATTTTCAACATTTTATATTTTTAATTTTGCACATGTGTGTTGTTTTAGATTTTGTAGAGTAGGGTCAGTTGGGCACACCATCTGTGAGAAAAAAAAGTACCATGCAATTCATTCTGCCGGAAATTTGGAAATGACATGCTGTATACTGCTTAGCATTCACGCCAGAAGCTCCAATACAAACATTTCAGCAGTGTTTGGGTGTCAATCTGAGAATAGTGCAAAGGATTCGGAAAGAGTTGGATGATATATCCAGTCAACTTTATGGTGTTTGGAATGATCTCTAGTGTTGGCAACGTATGCCTTCATTCATCTTCCCACAGGACCTCAGACTCAACATGGAGGCCTGCATCACGTGCCTTGAGGAGGTAGTGATGCCCTAGGTCAAGAGGGAGGCTGTAGGAAGACCCTATGTCTGGCAACGGGACTCTATACCATTCCACACAAGCAGGATAATTTCTGCAACTACAACACCCTGGCCACCTAACTCCTCTGGTGTGCAGTTGAGCGAGAGACAAACAAAACTCCTTGTAACACTAAAAATGAACTGAAGGCAATGATTATGACGGCATTCACCAACGAGAGACTGTCCAGAAGAGTTGCAGGAGATTCTGCAGTTGTCTGGAGGCTGTGGTTGAAACCAATAGCGATTTTATTGAATAAATTTAGTATTTTAATATATTTTTGTGTAATTTTAATAAATACATCTGTTTAAATGAGATGTCAGTATTATTTTCATTTTTGTGTAATTTAGATGACAATTTATCCATCGTATCTTTGTGTGTCTGTGTAGTTCACCCAATTGTGTCACCTAATGAGGATTGAGGTAAATTGACTATGATCTGCATAACTAGTTTGCTTGTCACTATAGTAATACACTGACATAAATGTACAACTTTTTTATTTTTTCTTTCTTACTCCCATTCTGTTTTACTCCCATTCTGTTTTGAAAAACTGAAGTAACCTTTCATTTTTTTTCATTTATTCTCTCAGTCCATGTTGGCAGTGTACGTCAGACTGCGTCCATCATTTCAATGTCTCAGGACACATTACGGACGGGTGACAAAGCCTTGGTCCGATTCCGTTTTATAAAGAATCCTGAGTACCTTCGCACTGACATGAGGATGGTGTTTCGGGAAGGCCGCACAAAGGCAGTTGGCAATGTGACCCGACTCTTTCCGCAGACGAGCGGCTCTGGTCATTACTCTCGGCATCAACGTGCTGGCAAGAAGTCACAACAACAACAACAACACCCACCGCAGCAGCAGCAGCAAGAGAATCACAGTAGTTCAGGGGGAGGAGGAGGACATGCCGGCCGAAGCCACAACGAGCCACAAAAACAAAGTAAGAAGAACCGTCGTCCAAGAAACCAGAAGCCATATTACAACCAAAATGTAATCGCAGATTCCACTAGCCAAGCTTCTTCCTCATCATCTATACTTGCAACTTCCTCCACCTCCTTGTCATCCACTTCCGGAGGTATTGGCCTGACGACGACGACGACGACAGCTTCTATGGAAGTTTCACCGGCAAACCAATTAACGTCATCATCCAGCCACACGTAGTTGAATTAAATTTTTTTTTATGTCCTTCCCTATCATTTTCTTTTTCTTATATCCCTCATTTGCCATTCAATGAAAAAAAAAAACAGAGCAACAAAAGAGAAAATGAAAAAATGCTGGGCTAAATAATAATAATAATGATGATAATAAAAATGGTGATATTGATAAAGACGTGTCATTACATCTTCGTGACAGTCATATGATCCTCTTTATCCCTTTTTCTTTTTTTTTAAGGACTTTGAATTTAAATGCTCTTTTTTCTTTTCTTTTTTTCTTTTCTTTTTTCTTTTCTTTTTTCTTTTCTTTTTTCTTTTCTTTTTTCTTTTCTTTTTTTCTTTTCTTTTTTCTTTTCTTTTTTTCTTTTCTTTTTTTTTCTTTTCTTTTTTCTTTTTTCTTTTTTTTTTTTTTTTTTCTTTTCTTTTTTTCTTTCTTTTTTTTTTTCTTTTTTTTTTCTTTTTTCTTTTTTCTTTTCTTTATTCTTTTTCTTTTTTTTCTTTTTTCTTTTCTTTTTTCTTTTTTTTCTTTTTTCTTTTCTTTTTTCTTTTTTCTTTTTTTCTTTTCTTTTTTCTTTTTTTCTTTTTTTTTTTTTTCTTTACTTTTTCTTTTTTCTTTTTCTTTTTCTTTTTTTTTTTTTTTTTTTTTTTTCTTTTTTTTTTTTTTTTTTTTTTTTTTTTTTTCTTTTTTCTTTTTTTTTTTTTTCTTTTTTTTTTTTTTCTTTTTTCTTTTCTTTTTCTTTTTTTTTTTTTTTTTTTTTCTTTTTTCTTTTTTTTTTTTTTTTTTTTTTTTTCTTTTTTTTTTTTTTTTTTTTTTTTTTTTTTTTTTTTTTTTTTTTTTTTTTTTTTCTTTTTTTCTTTTTTTTTTTTTTTTTTTTCTTTTTTCTTTTCTTTCTTTCTTTTCTTTTTTCTTTTCTTTCTTTCTTCTTTTCTTTTTCTTTTCTTTTCTTTTTCTTGGAATGATTTGTTCTTTCCACTCTTTCCATCCCCTCAGAAAAAAATCCCTTGCCTCATTGTTTTTACCTATCTCTTTGGAAATGATAGGGAAGTTTCACTTGAAAAGAATGATGACAACAACAACCGGAAAAAAAAAGAAACTGAATTGTGAAATGTGTTCATCTAATTTACATGGAACTTAGATATTTGCATCTCTCTCTCCTCTTCTTTCTGTTGCAAAATCTTTTTATTTTTCTTTCTCTTTCTTCTGCCTCTTCCACTTTCCACCCCTTATTTGCTTTTTATCTCCCTATCATATAGGTATATTTTTTGCTTTCTTCTCACTCCCTTACATTTCTTCCTTTTCTTGGTTTCTTTTCTTTGATTGACTCTCATTTTTTTTTTTCTCTGCTTGATTTTTTTTTTTCTCTTTTTCAATCTCTCCATCTTTTGATCATGCTGCCTCTCTCGCTCATTGCGTTGTCCTCGTTCTCACATTTTCTTTTTCTGTAAACTTTTCTACTTTTAATGACTTGCCAATTACATCATGAGCTTAAAAAAAAAAAAGTCAAGATCTGATATTTTAATTTTGTGTTTTGCTTTCTTTAATTTTCTTTATATGCCATTAATCTTATCTGGTGTTGCCTCCCCTATGACTGCTCCTTGAAACTTTAAAATTTCTGCTATGATATAATGTTGTGTTACACACATGCCGATGAGTATTGCTTGGATAAAGTTGTGTAGGTGGAGAAGTGTTTAATTTTATCAGATCCGCTCTTAACCTGATAAAACGAGAATGGATTAAACTACTACCATTCTGATTAGAAGTTTCTATTGCTTTTTTAATAAAAATTCACATATAACAATTTAAAAAATTCTTACCTGTAAAATATTTTTAGTTTTACACGTACAAATCATATTTGAATTTATACAAGGGTGCTGAAATGTTCTCGGCCCTACCAGGAAATGCTTCCCAAAAAGCTTCTGTTTGATCAAATTCTAGGAAGTGAGCCAGGCTAAAAACATTTCACAGCCTCACTGTCTCATTCCTATTATAAACTTGTCCTCTCTCTCAACTCCCTCGGGTTTGTGATCTGACTGCAGGGGCCTCTGCCTAGGTTTTTCATTCTGCCAGTTCACCTTCCCTACCCATATTGTGTTTTAGTTTTGATCTGAGGAAATCTTAGCTAAAGTTTGTCAAAATCCTGTAAGCATTGAAGGGGCCAAGCTATAAGAAAAGGAAGCAATTTTCTTAACAGACCATCGATTTGATTGTAGTAACAAAATAATATATTTATTTGTTGAGGGTAACAGTTATCAGATTAACCCTTTCCAATTCTTTGATGCTGTGGTCTACCTAACTACAGCCAGTTTGTAAGTTAGTAGGCATCAATTCTTATTCAAAACGACAATAATGTCCTGAACTGGTCACTAGTAGTTACTCCAATAATTCTAAACAGGGAACTTTAGTCTTGAACGTTTAGTTCTCTGTAGCTCATTTCATTGGTCTGCAAACAAAAACTCTTAAGCTGAGAAAATCTTTTTAAATGACAAAATTATTATTGGAAATACCTTACAAGTGGTGGTTTAGTGTGCGGTGATGTTAACTACTCTTCCTACATTTAATCATTTAGTGTCTCCCTTCTAATTGCCCTTTACTGCTTAGGCCTTGCTTGTACTGTTGATTACTACCTGACTGTTTCATATATATGTAAGGAATATGTTCCTTTCAGGGGTCAAGTTTAAGCTTGATTTGTAAATAACAAATTGAGATGTTTTCGATGCTCAAATCTTCTTGGTTCACATCAGCTAATCTACACTCAAGGCGAAAATGGTAAATGGAAATATAAAACAACAATTTTATTTTTTTTATCTTCAATCTCCAATTTTGGTACTCCTGGCTTATCAGAACTGTAATTTGAAAGTGTAAACCCCAAAACTGCAGGTACCAATTCATTTTATTGTAGAAAATTAAAACAAAATTTTACATAATTGCAAAAAAAAACATTTATTAGTCAAGTACATAGTCTCCATTGTTTTTGACAACTGTCTCACATCTTAAAGGCTTGCTGATGTCATTTTCAAAGAAACTTGTGTTTTCTTTGAAAGAATGTTGTGAAGTAGTTTTCAACTGAGTGTATTGAGTTAAATATTGGGTCATTTAAATGTTCTGTAGAAACTGGAACAAATGAAAATCCAAAGGTACCTATTTGGGAGAAAATGGTTGGTGTTGGAGGATTACCCATTTCAACTCTCTAAGCTTCTGTAAGGTCTGTTTTGCAACATGCAGTCTTGCATTGTCATGGTGGAAAATGGCACCATTTCAATTTTGCAAACTCTGTCATTTTTTTTGAGTAGCCGTATTAAGATTGGTGAGTTGGTCACAGTACTTTAAGTTATTGTTTCACTGGCTGGAATAAGATCAAATGGACAGCAACACAATCATTGGATGAAAGCTTGCTTTAAATATGTGTTCTGCACATTTACAAACTTGTTTCCAGTTCCAATTGCTTTGAACATTATCATAAATGATTCGTTTTTCATTGCCTGTGACAATTATGTACAAAAAAGGCTGCTTTTCATGGCATAACAGTAAAGAAATTGCCACAGAAACATGATCAAGCTTGTTCTGGTATGTCAGAGAATATGACATCCACATGCATGTAGCATCTCTTCAAATGGCAAAAGGCAGTTAATTTTTAAACTGTTGGCGATCTCTTCCATCAAAATCTTTGGTTTATTCCTCATGTTGGAAGGTCACCCAGAGTATGGCTGATCGTTTAGGTTAAAATCACTGATGAAGTCTGCCAAACCACCTTCTGACCATTGAAGAGCTGGAGCATTATCCAAATAAATATTCTGAATGTTTTTTTGTTGCAGTTCTGATGCTTACTCCTTTCTGAAATTCATAGGGCATAATTTGGCAAAAGTGTAACTCTTAATCACCTACCTTTATTCATTTGTGGACAAAATGTCAACGTTTAACAAAATCTGACTCAACTAAATGATGCAAGATTTCAATCTAGAACACACCAGAAATTGGCGCCAAAACAAACACCACTGTCAAGTTGCAATCATTTTATATTAACAATGAAAATGAAGCACAAACCTTTGCAACAATCTGAATAATGCTTTTTGTTTCTCCAATAGTCTTCTAGAAAAATCAAACCTCAGAGTATTTCTGGCCTTGCGAGTAAATCTTAATTGGCTTTCTAGGTTTTTCAAAACAACTACTCAAGTCAATTCTCATTCCAACTGACACCAGTTATAAATTCATTTAATTATGAACTCCAAACCAATAACTGTTATTCTATCTGCTTGGATCCAGGCATTAGGTATTGTCAACAGATCTGGATGCAGTGAATGATTAAGCTGATTCTCAAATGTTCTTGCTTCTTAATGTGTTCCCAGTTTGGAATTTGTTATCTCCTGAACTGGCTGCAAACCAAGGCTAAAGAACCCAGGTCGTCCTATGATTTACTCATATTTGATGGGGGAACAGACAGATTCATGCCTTTCTTAATGGAATTACTTTGAAGTGAACATAATTTTATCTCACCTGAAATCTGGTCTCTCTTTGCTGATTACATTTTGCACACTTTTAACCATTGAACTACCTTTTTCTGAATGACTAGGCTACTATTCTTCAGTTCTTTGAGATTGATTCATTCATTTTCTATGATTTATCAACCCTTTGCATGTTATTTAAAGCCAGAAAATATTTTTAGATTATCAGATTTTTTTTTTTTTTTTTTTTGAGGTAGTGATACAAGTCTTACTAATTTAAGCCATGGCTGTGGTGGGGAGAAGAAATGGATTCATACCTTTCGCAAGGGTATTTATGTGTAAGTAAATATAACAAACCCAATAGGAATTGGAACTGCTCTCCAATTAACAATTCTGAGCCATTATCCCATTACACTACCTGCACATCTAAGCATACAGCCCCTGGTATTTCTAAGTGGTCATCCATCTTGACCAGGCTTGACATTGCTTAACTTCTGTGATAGATAAGAACAGGTTTCAATGTTATGTGACTAAGCATGTGGGCTTGTAGTGTACTGTGAGAACAAATAATATAAAGGAGATATATATTCAAAATTGTACACATGTCAAACTGAAAAATGGTTATTCAATAACACTGTCCAAAGGACCACCTAAATTCTGTTTCGAAAGGGGCTTCATACCCAAATCAGATGCTTTGTACTTGTGTTATCCATAACCTCCATGTTTGCTGCCTGCAATAAGTCCTTGGTGTGGTTCAATGTCGTGATGATCTCATGCATAATTTAGTATTTTAAAATTGGATCATACTGTTATCTTAGACTTTACCAAAACTGCCATCTCTTCATCATGTAAGACTTGTACCTGATGTTCTTGTGTACAATATAGTGGATTCCACCACTTTTAGCTGAAGATGACCTTATTGACTTGCTGAGGTCATGAATGATGATGTCCTGAACCAACCCAGTGAACTTGGTCTTCTTTACAACACATGTGTGGTTAGAATATTTCATTATCTTGGCCATAGAAGGCACGTTCCTAATCGTATGGGAACCAGTGCTTTAACATGATGCGGTTGTAAGCCTTTCAGTTCTTAAGCTTTTGTTACTCCATGGTGTTAATTTCCATACAAATCTATTTACATTATCTTTTTTTTCTTTTTATGATCAGTATGCTATTGCCTTCACTTTACACCATTATTTTGACTTCAATAGAAGAAATTAATTTTTTCTCCTTCTGTCTTATGCTTGTCATATATTGTGTAGTTTTTCTATATATGACACAGGACCAGGTGAGACCAATTTACATTTGAGTAAGATGATCACCTACTCTCTATTCAAATATAGCATTCTAGTTTTCACAAGCCATTGTTAGTGAGATGAATTTCTCACTGCCTTCTCAAAAAATTTCTTCAATGGATATATGCATTTTAAGAAAATGTTATTGCTATATCGGCTTAAAATGCTAATATTTTTCCCCAAATTCTAATTAATTTTTAATTTAAGGAAAAAAAAAAGTTTCCCCTGGACATATATCTGGTGCTTATCTTGAAAACAAGAATCAAAATCATGTACATCTCACCTGAAATTATCCTAATTATTCTAAAAAGTGTTGTTTTAAATATACCTTTGACAACAACAACATATAAGCCTTCAGTTCTTTCTCTGCCAGGCCAAATTTACAAATACCTATAAATAGATGTGATAGAACAGTTCTTATATCTGGTGCTTTACTCGTTTTAGTATTTTGTAACAGAAGAAAGCTTAAATGCATCAGCTCCCTCCCCCAATTATTTGCAGTGTTCTCAATTGGGTGCAGCTTTATTTTCCTGACCCTTGCTGGTTATTTAGCGTTTATAGAATTTAAAATGACCTGGGAATTGAAA